AGAAAGAAAGAAAGAAAGAAAGAAAGAAAGAAAGAAAGAAAGAAAAGAATTCATGGCCCACAGCTACAGCAAGGCTTAGTGAGAGAAATTCAGAGGACTATGCGTATTCCAGACGAAGACCTCTGTGAGTTTCAGTCACAGAGAAAGTAGAAAACCAAAACCAGAACCAACCAATGAGTAGAAGAGAGGACATGCACAGAGATGGAGCTCACCAAAACTGGCTTCTGGGAGCAGTAATCAGTGAGTCGGCTGATGGGGACAGAGCAGCAAGACGGGTAAAGAGGAATGTGAATGTGAGAACTGGGGAGGAGCCCTACAGCCCAGCAGATAGTGTAAGGACAACTAGGGAACATCACAAAACCCTCTGCATAGCTAGGATCGAATGGACTTTGACCAACAGAACTTCAAAACTCATCTAGTATAGTAAGACAAGGAAGAGGCAGGGAAAGCCATCCACGCTGGAAGAGAAGTGAACTGTCCCTAGTCACATAGAACGTAATTGTGGAAAACCTCAAGGGTTCCAGCTATGGAATGGATGTAGCAAGGTCAACACACAGAACAACCAGCTGTTGTGTGCAGCTGGAAGCCACTGGTAAATCAGAGCTCCAGAGCAGGAAGCTGCTCTGCCTGAAAACCACAGAGGGCCAGGTTCAGGAAGTCAGCCAGCATGCAAGTATCAGGGGGTGTGCCGTTGTGGTCCTTGATTGGGGACTCAGAACACCGAACGCACAAATCTATTCTGAACAGATCTGTGGTTTAGTACATTCCCTGATAAAATCCCAGCAGAGTTGTTAGCTGTTCCTTTCTGGAATTTAGGCACAGTAGCTGGAGGAGGCCCACAGTTGGTACACTGCTAAACCAGGGTAACTGAGGCACTGTGGTGTAGACCAAGGGACAGACACACAAGTCAGTGGGTCAGAGCAGAGTCCAGAAAGAAACTGAGTGCAGCCTCTTGAAACTGAAAGGACAGGTTGTTCTACAACTGCTAGTCGAAAGCCAGCGTTACAGAGTGGAGGGGAAGGAACGTCGACCTCAAGCTTCACACCTACTGCAGAAAAGTGTGAGAGGACAAGACCTGGAGGAGATGGAGGAGTTCTCTGGCCTGTGACATCAAAGGAGCTGATACTGAAGACCTGCCAGTTGGACTTCGTGATGATTCAGAACTCGATAGCTATGGGGAGAGAGAAAACCACGGCAGGAGGGCACATCTGGGAGGCACCCACTACACACAAACTAGTGTCCCGAACACGCAGAGAGCCCTCCGTGCACCAGCAGGTGAGCAGCTGGTCCTAATGGAAGGACAAGTGGCAGATCCTGAGAAGATAGTCAGTACTGGTCGGGTGAGAGGGACAGATACCCACGCAGCCAGATCCAGGGGCTTGTGAGAGACCCGTGTGACACCTGCACCCACGTGACACCTGCATGGCAAGGACTCCCAAGGGGATGCCTGAGGGGCACAGCACCAGCTCTCCACAGAACGAGGGATGGCTATGGGGTCCATGCGACGTGATGACTCTGGCTCTGTACACCTAGTGTGTCCCCTTTCTTGACACTGGTCTGCTCAGAACTGGCAGTCACATGGGGACTAGCTACCCTATGCACAGGTTGGGGAGTTTGGGATGGGCCTCCAGAGCCAGACCACTGACTGTAGGCACCCACTATGCCTGTGGGGAGGGTGGCTTCTAATGCTGAGACACTGACAAGGGTCTGAGCCCTCGGCCAGCCCCAGGTCACTTCTAGGCAGACACCTGTGTCCAAATAATAAAAACGTGGTGCATGTTTATTATGAAGGATAGACTCTGATGCTGTGAAGAAACAGGGAGAAATGAAGGTGACACATTCATTGTCCTATGTTGTACGTTTTTGGTCATGTGACTGTGGTTCGTATTCTTCCCTGGATGCCACTGAGCATTTTTGGATGCTGACTTTGAACAGTGACGGGCCTTGGGCTGTCCACAGCCCTGTGCTGTGTGAGAGGGAGCCTGCTCTTGGGGTGGGTATGTGGCAGGGCCGGCACCCTGATCAAGTCTCTGTCCCCACAGACAGTACTACTGGTATGATGAGCGGGGGAAGAAGGTCAAGTGCACAGCCCCCCAGTATGTTGACTTCGTCATGAGCTCTGTGCAGAAACTGGTGACTGACGAAGATGTCTTCCCCACAAAATACGGTATGTCTCTTGCCGCGTGCACCCCACCTGTGCTCTGAGCGGGCTTCATTGCAAGGCCAACCACTGCTTTACTCCACTGGGCCACAGGGCCTCGGATCTGATTGCAAGGCAGGGGTCTAAAAGGGCAATGGCTGTGTGGCTCCGGCTTCTGCTCAGCACGTGGGAACTGAACTGTGGAGGGAAGGAGTTACCTCATTGTAGGGTTCAGAGCTGCTGGAGGCAAGTGCCCACCTACACCCTGAGCCCCTGGGCCTTGACTTCTCCCCTTTGCTTCTGCCAGCAGTTCTACACAATGAGGCCATCACAGTCCACCTTATTTGGGACTGGTGTGTCCAGGGCTGTCTAGGGCCTGACGGGGACCCAGAGCTCATTCTGAGCGACCTAAGGGACAGCACTGGCCTGCAGGGGAGCTTGTCCTAAGCAGCCAAAGGAACAACACTGGCCTGCAGGGGGAGCCTGTGTACTTGTCATCACTCCCAGCCCCTGTCCACAGATAGCCCTGGAGGGCTTGCCAGGGAAGCACACAGAGCCTGAGGGCCCATGCGTGGTCCATGCTGTGGCCAGTATGGCTTGGCTGTCACCAGTCCCTACATGCAGTGCTGTGGAGGCTGCAGTGTTGGGGGGTGGCGTGAGCACTCTGGGCTAACCCCGGTTGTAGGAGCCTGGCCTCCTGGCAGGTCTGTGACATGTGACCTCCCCCCAGGCAGAGAATTCCCCAGCTCCTTCGAGTCTTTGGTGAAGAAGATCTGCAAGTACCTGTTCCACGTGCTGGGCCACATCTACTGGGCCCACTTCAAGGAGACCTTGGCCCTCGAGCTGCACGGACACTTGAACACACTGTACGTCCACTTCATTCTCTTCACAAGAGAGTTCAACCTGCTTGACCCCAAAGAGACCGCCGTCATGGACGACCTCTCTGAGGTGCTGTGCAGCAACGCTGCCGCTGGTGGTGCCACTGGGGATGGGGCCAGCGGCGGGGCCCAGGGGGCACAGAACCATGTGAAGGAGAGATGAGCCCCAGGGCCACATGGGTGCACATGTGCAAAGAGACAGCTGTGTGTCTGCGTGTGCGCACACGTGCCCGGGCATGCTGGTGGCAAGGTCTGAGGGTCCCGGGCTGCTCCGAGTGTGGTCTCCACAGATGCCGCCAGGGTCAAGGCGCATTTCCTGGCTTTCTCTTGGATGGATGAGTGCCGTTTGTAGCGAAGAGCCTTTGGATTCATTCGTTCATTCAACAAACATTTATTGGATGTTTTGAGTTTTCTTCTGTGGGGTTTTCCTTTCTTGGGTCTTCCGTTTGGCTCTTGCCCTCCCCTGCCCCTTCTCTGAGGGGCTCTGCGGCTTTGAAAGAAGCACCTTGTGAGAGGTGTCTCCTCTGAGGGGGCTTGATCTGCAGACCCAGGGTCCTCTGCTTTGGAACTGGGGCTTTGGCAGAAGCCTCCCCCCGTTCCCTTCCCGGCCCTTGCCTGGATCCTGGCTGTCGGTGGCTCAGTTGCTGGGGTAGAGAGGCCTGGGGTGACCCAGGAGGGCCCACGCCTGCTGCTTGCTCCTGTCATCCCCCCTTTGCTGCTTCCTCAGTGCCCAGGGAGGGCCCATTGTGCACAGGGGCCAGGGCAGGGCCAGGACAGGGCTAAGGCCCTGTGGAGACAGGACTGTCAGCAGAAGGCAGAATTCGCTTTAGTTCATCTGTTCAGTCATAATAAAAAGAATTCTCTCAGGTCAGAGCCTGTGTGTCCTAGCCTGCTGTTCCAAGTGGTCCTGATCTTCCTTGAGACTTCTGGGTAGGGAGGGGTTCAAGTGTCACCGGCCCAGGTGGCCTCGACCTCATCCTCACTGTTTCTGTACCCAGCCTCATGGGCGGACAGAGGCCCAAGACATGGTTGCAGTTGGCTGAGGCTCAACAGTGGGGGCCAAGGAGCCAGCAGCCTGCATTCCAGGTTGGGGCAAGGCCTGAGTTCAAGCCTGGAGTTGGTCCAGGGCCCAGGTGGGCTGAGAAGAGGAAGCAGGTGAGGGAATGGCCTGGTCAGCACAGACCTCAGAACTTTGGGCCCTGGCAGCCTGTGCTGTGCCTGCTGATTGGCGCCAGCAGCCGTGGTGTGTTCCTGGGATATCCAGCAGCCCACATGTCCTTTAGCTTGTGGGCCCCCAGGTTTAGTGCTCACCTGGCCCTCTAGCTCAGCCTATGCAGTGCACGTGCGGCTACCTGGTCTTTTCTCCACTCTGCAGCATCAGCATCCCCCAGGAGCTAAATGGAGGGCTGGAGGCTCTTCTCTTTTCTGTGGGGACGTGTCAGCTCCTGTGAACACCTGAGCCAACCCCACCTGCCTTTGGACCTTCACAACAGAGAGCGGCCCCTATCTAAGGATTAGCAGGACTCACCAGAAAATCCCGGTCTTCACAGCCTGACCCCACCACCTCTCCACAGGAGTCCTTGTGAGGCTGAGGCAGGAGAATTGCGAGTTGGAGCCCAGCCTAGGGCTAGGCTGGGTGGGCATCCCTGTCAAAAATAACAGCAAACCTCCCTGGACCAACTCTAAGCCTCCTGACCCAATTCCTGGGAACAGAGCCACCAGACTGCCTGAACCCTGACCCCTGGGTATTGCCCAGCTTGCTTGCTGTGGACTCCCGAAGCGGAGGCCTCAGGATGCCATGTCTAGGGTTGCTGTAGATAGAGTTCAAGGCAGGACCTCTGCTGGCTGAGGGTGCCCTAGGGAGCCCTGGGCAAAGGACAAGAGGAATGGGGTAGAGATGGACCTGCTGGGCCTTCCCTGGCTCAACTCCCAGATACAGGGAGCTGGGCTCTAGACAGAACCCTTCAGAGAGCAGACCTGCCACGTCTCTGGCTGCCCCGTGGAGGCTGGTGGGTATATTAGAGGCTGGTGGAGAGGCTGTCCGGTGCAGAGCCCTGGCCGGCTTCTGGGAAGACAGGCTTCTAGCTGGAGCTGCTGTGTGGAGCCTGAGGTAGAGTCTAAGTGGGGTGACGTCTCCGTGGGGAGTCATCTGATACCTGCTGGTCTGATAGGAATGAGCAGCTAGATCTCCAAGTACATGGACTGTTAGAACCTGTGGAAGTGGCGGGCATCAAGGGGAGCTGCTGCCACCTGCTGGGCAGTGCTAGGAGCCAGTCCTCACCTCAAGCTCAGGTGCACTGGCTGGCTCCATGTGCTCTCCATGACCAGGGCAGCACCTTGCTGAGAGTTGGCCAACACGGGGCTGGGGCAGGGTGGGGGGTGTCCCTGGGTTCAGCCTGTAGTGGAGCTCAACTGCTCAACTCAAGCTGGGCAGACTCTGGGCAGCAGAGGCTGCACATGGGGGGTGGGGGCGAGATGGGGAAGGCCCGGGATCTGCTAAACATCATTGGCAGAAATGTGTCAGTCTGCTACTTAGGAGTGGGGGGTAAAGGCACAGCGGGGAAAGCCGTGTGTGCAGAGTTGTGGCAACCATTTGTAAGTGTGAGCGGCATTACTGTGAGGGCCCGGGAGAAGGCATGCCACTGGCCACGAGACGAGGTGTGCTGGCAGAGGGCAGGCAGCTTGGGCATCTGGCGGAAGTCTCCAAGCAGCACGAGAGGCAGCCAGGTCTTGCCACTGTGTAGTGTGCAGAGAGAAAACAGTAAGCTGTGGGCCAAAGGGGAGCTAGCGCCTAACCAGTGTCGGCCTGTGAGATGGACAAACCACTAGAGATTTGCAGGTGTGCTCTGGAGAAAGAGGCCAGACAGTCCTGTGCTCAAACCTCAGCAGGACAGAAAGCCTAGAGTGTTCATTGGCAGAGGCTCTTGGAAGAGGTGAGTGTGGAGTCAGCCTCCAACCAGAAGCTAAAATAGAGAAGGCTTAGGGAAAGGCCTGTGGACAAGAGTTTTGTCAGGGAATGTGTCCCCGTGACAGACACAGGAGTCCCCAAAGTCTCCTGAGAACTGTATGTCATCAGTAGCCCTGCAGTGGGATGAGACGGAAGGTGTGCTGTCCGAAAGTTCTCGGGCAGGAAGTTGACTGGCGGCCAGCTGCCAACGCTGTGCTTCCTACAAATGGGGCAGGGCACAGGGCTAGACCCTTGAGCCTCAGTGGATGTCTGCAGCCGGCTTTCTGTCAGTCCCGTGGCTGGGAGCACATGATGTACGTCTGGCTCACAGGCCTGCAGGGGCAGAGGGATTGATCGGCCAGGATGGGTCACACTTGTAGCAATACCTCACTTGACTTGAGGCTTCTCAGCTGATGAGACCAGGTCAGGTTAGGGCCTGGCTTTACCTTGTCGATGTGACGAGTGTTTTGCCTGCAGGATGGATGTTTGGCAGGGGGTAAATGGGCAGAAAGATAGGTAGACTGATACCTCTGACACTAAACATGCCCCAAGTTCTCAACCCTGCACCGAGGGGACAACGTTGCAGGTGGAATAGAGGTTGCTTTGCCCTGATGTGGGCATGGAGATGACCTGAGCTTGTTCACACAAGGCCTTTAATGGTGGGCGGGACAGCAGAGCAGAGACCCAGAGGCAACAGCATGAGGACTCAGCCTGGAGTTCCCGTCCAGAAGACAGTGGTAAGGCCATTAGCCATGGGATAAAGGGGCCTGGAGTCCCGGAATGAACAAAGTGCTGCCAAGACGTGCTTCAGTGTGAGACCTACTGGTTCTTGACTTGTCTGGGATTTAAACCAAGTTGGCAGTTACCTGTTACCACAGCAATAAGAAACAGACATCTAGCTGGGCAAGATGGCGCATGCTTTTCATCCCAGCACTCAGGAGACAGAGGCAGGCAGATCACTGAGATAGAGGCCAGTCTGAACCACATAGTGAGTTCCAGGCCAGCTGGGACTGCAGGGAGACCCTGACCGCCCCCTCCCCCCCAAAAGGCTGAAAAATAAAAAATCAGGCATCTCAGGGGCTGGAGCAATGGCTCAGCGGTTAAGAGTGAGTAGTGAGTAGTGCTTTTGCAGAGGACCCAAGTTCAGTTCCTAGCACCTACATTGGGTGGCTTACAACCACCTGTACCTCCAGCTCCAAAGTGTTCAACACCCACTTCTGACTTCCGTGGGCACTCAACTCAGACACATACATACATAGCTTTTTAAAAGACATTTGTAACATGGGCCACAGCCCACAGAAGCCAAGCCCACTGTGCATGGGACTTAGGGACTCCATTGCCTTCCTGTGCTGTCCTCTCTGGTGCTCTGCTTGCCTTGTACCAAGAGAGCTGGGCTGGTGGAAGTGGGTAGATAAGGGGAGGGAGAGTCAGTGGACGGGCCACCAGGAAAGGGGGTGCCTGGTGAGGAGGCAGAGCCATCAGCCAGGCCTGGCCTCGCACAGTGAACTGGACAGGTTTGGGAAGGGCCGGGCCGTAGGTGTGCGGCTCCCCGCTCTGCTTTGCTATCAGGAGGCTCAGCTGAAAGGAGCATGACCCCTGGGACAGGCTCCCTGGGGTGGGGTCAGCGTGTTCCGCAGCATCTCTTCCCAAGGGTGCTTGCTGTGCTGCACTTCCTGGGGTGGGCGGCAGTCAGGCCCTTGTGTTCCCCGCCAGGCCAATCAAGCTAGTGCCCAAAATGCTGTCATCTTAAGAGGCTTTTTATGTATTTTTTTGAAGTCTCCCATTTTAATTTCTTCATAGTAACAGTGAAATGCTCGAGACCATGTCTTCATGCTTATTTTTCATGAGAACCTTTGGACTGGGCCTGCAGCTTAGTGTCAGGAGTTGGGTCGCAAGAGCCCTGGGGAAGACCCGGTGCTGAGAAGCTGCTGGGTCGGCCGGACACACCTGTCGCCGTGGTGCCCACAAAGGCTGACTGAAGTTAAACATCCAGAAGACTGGAGGAGGATGGGACCCTGCGGACCACTGCTCTCAGCAAAGCAGCTGCAGGCCTACAGAAGACATCGTACAACTCAGCCCTGGAGCCCATCAGGCACCTCTGGCCAGATCCTTCCCCAAACCTACATAGCTTGAAAGCTCTAATGAACTGAGAAGCTGCAGTGCTGTGTGAATAGCCTGGTCCCTCGTCCTCTCCACGTGCCTTCTGGGTACCCCGCTCCTTGGCAGGCACGGTGGCATCCAGGGTTCAGCAGAGGATGGCCCTGGCCTCTGTGCTTGCTTGTCCTGGGCTTCACGCCTGACTGCACAGACCTCCCTGGGCTCAGCAAACCTATTTGTCAGGTAAGTCTGAGCTCACCTGGGGCCACTCTACTCCCGGGAGACATGTAGTAGTGCCAGGAAATGCCTTGTCACAAGGTAGAAGACACCTGGCATCCACGGGGCAGAGACCAGGGATGCTGCAAGCTCTAGTGTTGGGAGAGTGCCCACACAGAGAACCATCAGCCTCACCACCAGCATGCTGCAGTGGAACCCTGCCACACGCAAGACAGCATCCGTGCCAAACACACAGCTTCACGGATCGAGCACTGATCAATCACATCCTTCACTGAGGATTGCCTAGCCTCAGCTCCCAGGCATTTAAGACACAGGACTAGACCACATGACAGCAGCAGAGATGAGTCCAGGGTCAGCTCGGTGCCTATGCCCTGGCTCTCCATAGGGAGTATGGCTGGTTCTCTCCTCCATCAGCCTTGGACCCGTTTTCAAGGCCAACTCCTGGTGCTTTGACTGGACTCAACCTCAAGCAAGAACAGGATGGTGCTAGATCGGGTGTGGCGGCACGCACCTTTAATCCTAGCACTGGAGAGGTAGAGGCAGGTGGATCTCTGAGTTTAAGACCAGCCTGGTCTACATCGTTTCCAGCTAGCCAGGGCTTCGTTGTGAGACGGTCTCAAAATAGAGTAAAATAAAGGCTAGAAACAGGTTATTCTAGGAAAAGCCCAAGTACTGGGTGGCCCCAGGCATATGTCTAGGGTGGAGGAGGCAGGACGACCATGTCGAGGGCAGTGCTGCCACTGCTGCTGTCCCCAGCAGAGGTCCTTGGCAGCCTGTGTGTCTCCAGACTGCTCGTCCCCCAGTCCTGGTCCACACTGGAAGCTCATCCCCGACAGAGGGTAGACTAGGCCAACACCCCAGCCCATCTGACCGACTCGAGCACCTGGACCCTCTTGTAGAAATAGATCCTCTTCCCTGGGCACAGCCCAGACAGGTGCAAGTTGGGGATGAGAGCCACCTCTGCGTGTCCTGCACCCGTTCCCGTGCCCGCCCGGCCCGGACGGAGACCTTGCGTCATGTGTCTTTACGGAAGGAATTTATTGTTCCAGAACTGAAGTTGCTCACAGTTATTTGACATGGTTACACTGGATGGGGCTTGTTCATTTCCGTGAAGTCTGCGTGAGTCCGAGTGTGTCCGAAGTATAAAACAGGAGAACTAAGGAGAGGTATTGCTTTCGGTATCCTGCCGCCTCGGAGAAGCCTCGTTCCACTTGTACCGCGTCGCTTGGCTGTTTCGGGTGTTTGGTTTTTTCCTATGTATAGAAATCCCAGCCTGTGGTGGAGTTCAATGTAACAGAAGCGTTAAAATCTGTACATGGGGAGGAGCAAAGGCATGCATGGGACCTGCCGCCCGGCCCCTCCTGCTGCTGCGCCAGGCACCTTGGGCCAGCCGGGAGGGACTGGCCCAGCTGAACAGAACAGAACACAGACAAGCCGGACAGGCAAAGCGAAGGGCTGCAGCAGGCAGTGACGGGCCCCTTGCCCTCGCCACCTCCAGGAGGAGCATGGTGTAGAGAGAGCGTCTAACTCCGTTTCTGGCCTTGGATTTTTTTTTTTTTAACTTTTTAAAATCTGAATTAAAAAAAAAAAAAGCCTTGGATTTTTAACTTTTTAAAATCTGAATTAAAAAAAAAAAAAAAAAGCCCCAGGCATCCCTGCCATCTGTGTGTGAGTTAGGTGCCAGGTCAGAGCCTTCTACCTTTCTCTGACACCAAACCAGGCTCACCCCCAGCCTGATGTAAACGGAGTGCTGGGTGGTCTCTGTGGGCAGCAGGTGTGGCTGGCCAGTGCAGGCTGGTGCCACATAACCTGGGCCTTCCCCTGGAACTGGAGCTGCTGCTGAACAGTAACAAAACAACCCGGGACAGAGCTAACTGCATCATTCTTTAAGTGTGTGTGTGTGTGTGTGTGTGTGTGTGTGTAGAAATAACCAAGATCAAGGAATCGAAACACAAAATCTAGCTCTGTCCCAGTGGTTCCCCCCCCACCCCCACATCCCTTTTCCAAAAACAACCAAGAAAAAAAATGTTTATAAAAATATCTTGCAGGAATTCTTTAAAGTTTACAGTAGCTTGCCAGTGCTGCATCCACTGGTCAGTCCCCCACTGTCCCCAGCCCCCAATGACTCTGTCCTTAGAGGGAACCTGGGCTCCAGACCCACCCTGCCCGAGTCAGAAGAGACAGACAGACAGACAGACATACACTGCTTCCCCTTCCCTGAACAGAGAACAGAGAGATAAAGAAACTCAATAAATTAAAACAGCAAATAAATAATACTGGTCTCGGCCCAGCCCTCACAGCCTGGCAGCTCTGGGGCACCCGGGGTCTCTGTTTCCACTTCGGCCCGAGAGAACCAACAGCCTAGCGAGGTGGAGCAGTAGACACAGGTGAGAGGAGGCCCTGGCGAGGCCAAGGTCGGAGGAGGCGAGGTGGGTGACCCAGGAGGCCTCCAGGTATGACATGGAGGCCGGTGGACAGTCCATCCTCACTGCTTCACCCATCACCATCCCCCGCCCTGGACGATGGTGGGCAGGACTGGTCACTGGGAGTCCAGGGCAACTGGGCTGGTGGAGGCATCCCCTGGGAGCCGGGCCCTCCTCCTGTGGGCCATGCGGAGCTGCCTGGGGCAGGTGGAGCGGTGGGCGGCGGGCTGGCCTCTCCGCCTGGCAGCAGTGGCAGCAGCAGGAGAGAGGGTAGTCCACAGCAGCTGCCTTCGGTCAGCCAGTGTCCACACGCAGCACAGAGGGTGGCCTCGTGGAGGTGACATGTTAACTTTTCGGGATAATTCCTGGTATCAGAGCGGAAACAAGCGATGCCGTCAGAGACAGGCAGAGACAGAGACCACGAGAGAAGAGAGAGCAAGCCCAGAGGCTAAGCCTGCGGCCGGGCCTGGCCACTCTCCTTTCCTCCCAGGCTCGAGACAAGGTCTGGGCAGGCAGGTGGGGCCTGGTCCACACGGGGTGGCGGCAGATGGCCGCGGTCAGTGCTGTGCTGTGCTGGGGAGGGACCAGTGTCTAAGGCTGCTCACGGCGGGCGGCGGGCGGCCCCGTCTTGGCCATGTCCTTGCCCATCGGGTACTCGGTGTCCCCTCCAGGGCCAGCGGCCGCGGAGTCACCCGGGGGACTGTGGGCACTCCGCTTGGCGGGTGTGCTGGGGGCCTGGGCCGCCTGCCCGTTCTTCTCGTCTGAAAAAAGTTGTTTAATTACGTCAAAGAAGTTACTCAATGGGGTGCCTGGGTACACAGAAGACAGAGAGAGAGAGAAGAAAAAAAGGGGAGGGAAGGAGAGAAAGAACAAACAAATGAACGAAAGGGCCTCGACGAGAGAAAGAAAAATCCAGCGAGAGGAAGTCTGAGATGGACTAGCAGGGACAGAGGGCAGCAGGCAGGGCGGGCAGGCGGCCAGTGGGGGGCCTAGTGCCAGCGGTGGTGCGGGGGTGGGTGGGGAGGTGGCTGGTGCTGCAGAGCAGACACTTGGACCCTCCACACCTCCAAGATGACATGGGCACCTAGGACTGCTTCTGAAAACTGAGGCCCAGGGCAGGCAGTGTGACTCCTCCCCCTCACCGGGTGTGACCCCGAAGGGCCTGGGCCTTCCCAGGTCTCGGCCACGTGAGCTAACCCCAATTGTAGAAATACCAGGGTAAAGACTGGGGCTAAGTCAGACCCTGGGGTTGGTTGCTGCTCAGTGGGGGGATGCTTGCTCTGGGATGAGCAAGCTGGAGCCAGTACCCAGCATACAAGGAGAGCCTGGCCCTGGCCAGCATAGTTCAGCAGCAGACAGACAGATGGATGGCAGGTGGACAGGCATGGAAGGCACAGGCGGGCAGGCAGGGGCTTGGGGACAGGCAGCTAGGGCTGGGCCTCTGGTCCCAGAAGGCAGGACAAACAGGGCAGACAGATGACCCCCCCGCCCCCGCCAACCTCCTGGGCCTGTGCTCACTGCTTGGCTGTGCCAGCCAGGTACTTAAATTCCACTCCCTCATCTGACTTCCATCTAAGCCCAGTGCTATAGACTCCTCCTCTCCTGCCAAGCACTTTCTGTAGACAAGCATTCCCTCTGCCCCCAAGCCAGTGCTATCTGTGGGACTCTAGGTGGCCTTGGGCCATGAGGACCCTTTTCTGCTCTGAGCCTTGGGGTCCTTCCTCAGCTTGACCTGAGTGTAGGGATGAGGAGTAGGGAGTGAGTGGTCAAGACCATTCTTGGCAAAAGATGGAGCCGGAGGTGGCAGGTGGTTCGATGCCTGTGTATGCACAGGGGAACCCGGACAGCCCAGGGGCAGTGGGGCAGGCTGCGGGGCACACAGTGGCGGTGGCAGGCTAGGGGCCAGGTGAGCGTGAGGGTTCTTACCACATTTGGAAAGCCGCCCCGTCATCACTTCCATACAGTTAGTGGTGTCTGGAGCACAGAATGGAGAGAGGGAGGGAGAGAGTGAACAGGCTGCACAGCGTGCCACCTAGGGCTGGCTGGCCATCTGTCCCCAGCCAAGCTGAGAGAGGGCAGGGCCCTGAGAGGGCAGAAGAGGCCAAAGGGGATGGGGCCACAGAGAGGGGGTGACTACAGGTGGACCAGCTGCCAAGAGCCGAGAAGCTGAACCTGGGAGGCTGAGTGACAGGACAAGCAGGCCCAGGAGGGGCAGAGCTGGGAGCAGTGAGGATCAGTCTAAGCAGTCCCTGCACCCCACACTACACCTGGGTGGGAACCAGACAGACAGTGGAGGGTCATCTTCCAACAGCCAAAACCGTTAGACGGTACACGGCCTTTCCCTGGTCTGGCCCTGTCTCCCGTGAGCTAGACATAGCTCCTGCTCTGGCATGATCTATACAGGCTGCCTGTACACTGCCTACACCTCACTGACCACTGGCTCCGATTCACCTCCTGCTTCTTCTTGGCTCTGTCACTGGCCCTCTCCTGCCAGGCTGGGCCTGCTGGCAGTGGCAGCAGACCCAAGACTATCCCTCAGCACCCTCACAGGTTGGGGCATGTCCGCTTGGCCTCCTCGCACTGTGGAGTCCCTGTCTGGGTGACAACCAGGTCTCCCGGAGGGTTACACTCTGGCTCAGCACCAGCAGGGACTCTGGAGCTAAGCTCACTGGACAGGTATCCAGTGTGGAAGCATGGTGAGACAGGCCAGGCCACCAGGAGACAGTGAGGGGCCATGGGGGGACAGGCTGAGGTCCCAGAGTGAGGGCTCAGAAGTCTCAACGGTCTCAAGGGTAGGCTCTGCCTAGGTCACGTCTGGCAGGACAGCACTGGTGGGTGAGCCCTGTGCAGGCCATGGCCATCATACTCCCTGTGAAGCCTGGGACGTGGGAGGGGGATGTGACAGAATATCTCACAAGACAGCTTGGGGAGCTGTCCAAGACCCGGGAGTGGAGGAAGTCTGCGTCAGCTAAGCAGGCAGAACCCTGGCAACAGGCCAGACCCTGAACTGACTTGCCCTGGACACCTCCAGCCCGCCTCCACCTCAGCCACCTGCCATTCCTGGCCTTTGGTTTCCCACTAGCACTGGGTTGTTCCCAAGTCTTAGTTTTCCTCTAAGATGGAGGCCTGAAGCCTCAAAAATCAGAGGTTGAGCTGACTGGAGGATGGTGCCCGTGGAGCACCTAGCCCTGCCTGCTCCCTGCCCACCACACCAGCCTTTCTCCTGTGCAGCTGAGTGAGACCAGGGCTGTTGGGGGCTCCAGCCCCACCCACCAGAGGGTGATGAGGCCCATGTTGGGGGCACATCCACAGGCAATGGAATGAGAATGGAATGAAATGGGGAACAGGTGGAGAGGCTGGACCCCACAAGCACGAAATAAGGCCCTGCTGGCTGTGGGGTTCAGAGAAGCTGGCCTTGGGCCACACCCCATCTCCCCCAGGTCCCTTACATGCCACACACCATCAGCCCATCCCTTCATTAAGATATCCCAGATCCTGTACCACCAACCCGTCACTGATACATGGGTCCCATATGTGTGCTAGTACACAGGCTGGGCACACAGGTTTTGCCTCCTCCCAGAGACACCCAGCAGCTTGGGCACCCTCCTGAGCGCCTGCTGGGGCCAAGGCCTCAGATCCCATCCTGCTTAATGCAGAGTTCTGGGGGACAGCAGCATGGAGATGGGGAGTCCCGGCCCTCATGGAGTGCTATAGGGGGAGCCCTGATGGTCAGGCGGTCAGGGTCTTGGTCCCTATTCCCAGAGCCTGCTCAGGCTACCATGTCCAGCTACCTGGGTGCTGAACCTGCAGGCCTGTCCAGGGCCAGGCCTGGTGGGTGGGCACAGGGTGTCACTCTTGGGACAAGCCTGGCTCTTGCAGGAGGCCCTGCCCACAGCCCCTCCCCTCCCCGGCAGTAGGCCGGACACCTTACCTGCCAGCGTCAGAGGCTACTCTCGTAGCTGGTGGCCACCTTCTGGCCCTTAAGCCCAGCACCCCAGCTTAGTCGCTTAGTCCTGGCGCTGGCAGCGGGGGGGAGTTCTACGGTGGACAAGAGGTGCCTTTCAGTGTGGATGCCCAGGGAGGGGCCCTGCTCCCTGAGGGGTGCAGCATGGCTCGGGGCAGGGAGGTGGGCATCCATCAGAGTAGGAGGCCATGTCCGGTCCTCGAACCTCCCATCCAAATGGCACTAGCCACAGGTACTGGGCTGAGCTCCCGCCTCACCTGACAGGTGCTGGGCTGATGGTTGGTCATGGGTGCTCAGCAGCTGGGCCTGGATGGTCTCTACCACCCTCTTGAAACGGCGGCTAGGGCCTAGGGGAAAGATAGGTGGTCAGGTCTCTGGCAGGGCCAGTGACTGTGGGCCTGGAGCCCCCAGATGTGCGGCCCACCTGACAGCAGGGTGAACGTGACTGAGTAGATGCCATTCTCCTTGTGGGCCTCGCCACCCTCTGTGTAGGTGATGTCCACCTGGAACTTGACGGGCTTCTGGAACACAGCTGGGCCCCCCGTTGCCTTATATTCAGCCCGGAAGCTTGTCTGGGAGATGACGCTGTGGCTGAGGCTGGGGATCTGCGGTATGCACAGGGCCAGCATGAGCACAGCCTCCCGGCAGTCCCCACTAACCCACCCCTGGCTCTCTGGGGAGATGGCCCCAGAGCCAGCACTACATGGACACCAGGCCATATATCCAACCCTCCAAGCCGTCTCCAGCTCTGAGAACCGAGTGTGGTACAGGAGACGAACAAAGTCAGAGAGAAACTCACATCAGAGCCCCCATGGCCCCAGCCAGTCCAGGGTCCATGCAAACCCTAGGTTGGAAGGGGGTAGGGGACCCTACAACCCAGAGTCGGGCAGGAATGGAGGGGGCATCACGGGAGGGACCAGGAAGGCTATTGCTTGATGTGGGAGACTGTCCCCTATGCCGCGTTTTTCCAAGCTGTGTTATGTTGCCCTCTATGTGAGTCCACAGGGCTGGCCAAATGAGCTTCACAGCAGCAAGAGCAAAACTGGAAGGCAGACAGGGTCACCCCAGCATACTGGTCAGTTATGAGGGCGGGTGACCCAGGAGCCTTGCGAAGGATGCAGTAAACAGGTGTGAGGAGGACACAGGCTAAGACCCAAAAGGTAGGGCTATTAGCGGGATGCCACAGCCCAGGAGTCTGTGGCTAATCTTGTGTGTCTACTTGGTCTGGTCTGGACTGTCCTTAGGCCTCTGGAAGCTGTCCCCAGGGCATTACAGGACATAGTAGCCTGAAGGACCCAAGGGCAGAGTGTCCAGTGGGGCAAGAGTTCCCTGGAGTGGGGTCCATTCTGGGGCAAGAAGGGCACCCTCTGATGGGGTGACTATGGGCAGGATGACTCCCCTAGGCCAAAGGCCAGCATGTTGTGGTACTGGGGTGGGAGGCAGATGCTAAGGAAAACCCCAGAGAAGCCTGGCCTAGCACAAGGCAGGTTCCACAGGAGTCAGGAGGGAGAAGGCCTTCTGAGGAGACTCTGGAAGCTCACATCCTGGGCTTTAGTGGCCTTTCTGCTCCTCAGGACCAAGAGAGCCCATGCCCTGAGACCACAAGCCTTTGCAAGCAGGCTAGGGGCCACAGGACCTCAAACAAAGAAGTGACAGGGAAACAGGCTCTGGGCCTCAGGCTGTCCTGAGGGTCATCAGACCCCACACGGGTCCCTCAGGGTTACCGCCTCTCTGAATTGTGTGGCCACCTGTGCTTGACCCTCCCTCTGGGAGGTTTTGCCCGAAGCCCAGCCCAGCCACAGGCGGCTCCCCACTTCCAGAGCTGCGCAGCTCCCACAGGGCAAGGGCCTGGGTGGACAGTGGTGGTTCAGGCAGAAGAGTACTAGGGCAGGTGGGTGTCCTGGGTTGACATGAATAGGAAGCCCTGTGATCTGCCTGAAGGGCTGAGTCCATAGGTGTCTACCTAGCTCTACCGTGGCCTCACCGACAGGAAGGCGTGAACGATGTCAGCCTTGATGGAGCTCAGGGGCTTGTCCTTGATCACCACAAAGATCTGCTCCTCCTTCTCCAGGTTGATGAAGTTTCCAAACCAGGATTTCTTGGCCAGCCTGGGCAGAGCAGAGGCTGTGATTATGGGGTGTGTTGTCCTGTCCACTCCTAAGACCTCCCCACGTCCCAAACCTGCCACAATGCCCTAATTTAGGCTGGCCACAGCCACTCTCCTAGTAGTCTAACCAACACTAAGGCCAATCACCAACTCTATACTCGCAAGGACCAAACATAACCCAAAATCAAAATCCTTAACCCCAACCGAACCCTAACCCTAACCTCCATAACCATAACCCTGAACATTAATAAACATCTCTAATTCTTTTTTTTTTTTTTTTTGGAGACAGGGTCTCCCTATAGCCCCAGCTAGCCTGGATTAGCTATGGAGACCAGGAGACCAGGCTGGCCTCGAACTCACAGAGATCTGCCTGCCTCTGCCTCCCAAGTGCTGGGATTAAAGACATGCGCCACCACACCCGGCTTATGTCTCTAATTCTAACCCTACCCCAACATCCCTAACCCTAGATCCCCATTGCACATCACTAACCCAGACCCACATCCCATTTCCTTAATCCAGACCCCATGTCCCAACACACAAATTTCACCCCAACACACACCCAACCACAAACCCTTGATTCCCACAGCGCTGTCTGAGTGGCACCTGCTGGAAACCACTGACCTAGGCAGGAGAGGACAACTGAAATGTGGGTCCTGCCCTTCATTTGGGTTCTGGTGGAGCAGCCTGCTCTGCCCCGTCCTGGCAGAAATGTTCCCGGCCTGATGCGTGCTTAGTGCAGCTACTCAGAGAACAAGGCCAGGTGGTACCTTCCGTCTGGCAGGCTTCTCAGGTCAGGTGGTGGTGTGGCTCCTCACCTCAGCTTGTGGCACAGGGGCCCCTGGCAGACCCTCAGGATCGGTTGGGGAAGGGCCTCCCCAGAGCTCCTCACAGCCACACAGCCCCCAGCCAGGGCTGGCACACATTTCCCGACTGCAAGAGTAGGTCTCCTTTCCATGACAGCTTGACAGAGCTCGGCCGCCACCCCACTGCTGCCCGGCTGGTCTCGGCTGTCTGGCTGGGCTACCCCTCCACCACCCCAGCTCTACTACAGTACTGCTCACTGTGCACCACCTGCTTGCCACACCGTCTCTAAAACGGAATACCACAGCTCCAGGGGCTGGAAATGCAAGCCCACGGGGGCGGACACCACAGAGTCACTTGTGGGCCTACCCAGAACATCAGGAAAGGTAAGCACAGCACCTCTGAGGACGCTGTGCACGAACACAGCCTCTTGCTGTCTTGTTGACGGGCTCCCCAGTGCAAGGACCCCAAAACAGCCCGCCACCATGGATGCTCGGAAGGGATTCTTCTCCAGCCCTGGAGACCACCATGGCACACCAACACTGGGCTTGCAGCCCTGAGACCAGAGCTGGTTGCAGCCAGTGATGCACAGAGGCTACAGGCTGGAGGGAAGTGGCCACAGCAGCGTCCAGGACCAGAACCAGGGCTGGCATGTGGTCAGCATGGTCTGGAACAGAGCTGGGCAGCAGCACCTGCCCTTTGCTAACCTGTGTTGAGTGTGGGGTTTCCTGGCTGTGTTACATCCCCTTTCTTGATCATTTGCAGTGCTACTCTTCAACCGTGGCAGACCTGGCCCCCAGCCCCTCTGTGCTAGCCACAGTCAGTCTGTCCGTGTCTCGGACTCTGGTGCAGGCTCCTGCCCACTTGCACCAGGGTGATGCCAGGACCTGGAGCCCAGCAGTACTTAGAGTATCTTGGAGTAGCCAGGTAGTTCTGGAAAGCACAGGTAGTGCTAAGAAAATCACAGAAGGAAGGAGCCATCCCGGCTTCCTGTACTTGGACCCATTGGCATGGCTGTTGGTACAGCCATCATCCCCCAAAGAAGCTGGAAGATCAGAGGAGACTGTGTGGCACAGGGTGACACAGCCCATGGTGGAGCTTTAGTGACCATGTGGCCAGGCTCTGGCACTAGCCTGGACACAGCATTCTGGATGTAGCCATGGTATATTAGACAGAACCTAGGTCAGTAGACTCAGCGCAGGGAAAACGTCCAACCAAGGGGGCCCCATCTAGTGGGGTGAAGGCTTCAGAGAGAACGGCTTTGCAAGGGTGAAGGCTCTAGCCGTGTGGGAGCCTGTCTGAGTGTCCAGCCCTGGACTGAAGTCACAGTTCCTGAAGCACCGTTGCCTCCACCCTGCCTGTTTCTGAGGAAGCTACAGTGAACACAGGGCTGGTGGCAGCCGGCAGGCCTAGGTCCTCCATCACATGAGACTGAAGGTGGATGGTGCCAAGCCTTCCAGGACCACTGTACAGGTCTGGGGGAGGGGAGCAGAGCCTCCAAGGGGCCTTGATCAAGGAGGAGGTGGCAGGAGGCTGTGGCCTCCTCACTGGCCTCTAGCTTCTCTCACAGTCACTCTGCTTTCTCAAGGGAGTATTTGCAGGCATTTTTCTAAAACCTTTGATAAGAGCAACATAATGACCTGACCTAGGCAAGAAATGCTCCTGTTCCCAGAGCCTCAGGGCAGCTGTGGTGAACCCAGGCCTCTGACCTCCACCTGGACAAAAGGCCCACACAGCAAGGGAACTCCTCTGCAGACACTGCTCCCAGTGGGTTGAGCAGGGAGCAAGTGGTCTCCCATAGGTCCTTACTGGACATGGGCAACGCACTGAGAAATGGCCCTGTGTAGAGGTCACTGTGTAAGGCCACATGGCCACAACACTGCAGTGCTCTCCTTTGCAGAGGGCTACACCCAGGTCACATGACATTTCCCCGCGTGCACGCGCACACACACCAGTAGCTACTGAGGAAGTGACCGAGAGGCAGCTGTGAGGGCACAGAGAGGGCCTCGGCTGGGAAATCACTCCCAGATGCCATGCTGTGCAGCCCTCCGGTGTCTGCAGGGCAGATGCACTCGGCCCACCTACATTTCCTTCCATCTAGCTGAGAGCTAGGAAGGCACGTACCTGTCCCCAGCCTCTGCCAGGACCTCCCAAGCAACATAGGTGCCTCCACCAGGCCCCCAGTGCTTTCCCTGGGCCCTCCATCCTATGGTTGTCTCTCTTCTTCAGCACAGGCCCATTTCTCCCTGAGACCTACCATCCCTGGGAAGCCCTGTTCACCCTCACTTGCCCATAGCTCAGACTCCTCTGTGACTTCTGAGCAGTTAGGGCAATTCCCCCAATTGGCCTCCCCACGTGGACAGGACAAAAGCTCACAGAGACATGACAAGCTGAATCGGGCCCAAGGGGGCCAGGCCAGGGGCCAGAAGGAAGTCCTCAGGCAGTTACCCCTGCCCTGTGGAAGGATCCTAGACCCCACCCCTGCCATACCAGCCTCCAGCAAAGCCACTTACTCTGGAGAGGACTCTGGCGTCAGGTTGGACATCTCCTCTGGTGTGGGAACTGCACAGGGAAGGGCAGGGAAAAGGTAGGTGAGTGCTCCTGGTCCCACAGGTGTCCCCTTGGGAGGCCAATCCCAGTCCAGCCCCTGGCTCAGGGTGCCATCCATGCTGAAGCCCCACTCCAGGCCTCCAGCCAGCCCTGGCTCCAGCTGGGCAGAAAAACTGGCCCCAGAACAGTCAGTCCAGGACCTGCAGAATCCCTGACCTTTCGGCAGGCCTTCTGGACAGAGCTACTGCCCAGATGATGGGACGGATGGGGTCTGGGAGGAATGGGGTGCAGGGTGGATTCAGAGGCTGGCACCAACCTTGCAGTTTCCGGCGGTGGAAGCGGGGTGAGCCCAGGAAGCTGTTCTTGATGGAGTTGAGTCGTGTCCGCCAGGGCACCCCTCCAACGCTGGGGCTGGATGGCGGTGTGGGGTTAGGTGTGCCGGCCGGGCTCTCCTTTGGTGTGTGGACAGGCGTCCCTTTGGGGGTAGGAAGGGGGCTACCCCTCGGTGAGGGGTGAGGGGTCACCTGTATGGTGGGGACAGATTTGGTGTTTGGTTCAGTCCTGATGGATGGGAGCCAGGCAGGGGCCAGCAGGGTGGGGGGCCCAGGGGCCAGGGCCAGCAGAGGGCCACCGCTGGCTCCAGGAGGCCAGGCCTGGGTGCAGGCTGGGAGCGGGTTGGACTTGGTGCCCTGCAGCCGCTTGTCAGTCAGCTTGGCCTTGCACGGCAAGGTCTGTGTCTTGGGGTTGGGCCGCAGGGCGGCCTGTGGAGGGAGGACGTATCCGGGCCGTGAGGTGCTCCGACAAGCTTCGGGCTCCACGGAGGTGGCCAAGGGGTGGGCCACAAAGGGGGGTTCAGGGGACAGAGGGGGCAGGACAAACTTTCTAACAGGCTACAAGGGCACAGAGTGGGAACAGGTGGGATGACGGTGAAACGCCGCCCGTGCCGCCCCACCCACATGCACACACAGCAGCCAGGATCAGAAAAGCGTTCAGGCAGGACCCCAAGCAGTAGTACCAGGGGGAGAGGGCAGCCGAGGGGAGGGTTTGCACAAAAGAAAACGTGACACACAAGAAAACAACACAAAACAAAAGAACATGCAGTTAGCAAGAGCCCAGAGGCAGCGCAGCAGCCAGGAGGGCACCCACGGAGGAGGCCTGCGTGCACGCGGTGGGCGTCTGCTTTCCAGTCCGAGGAGGCCCCGCCCTTCCCCTGGGGGCACACTAGTTGGGGTCCCTTTCTGTTCGCTGAGGCTAGCCCTGTCATGTGAGGCTGGGGTGGGGCATTCACTCACCCGGGGACTGCTGAGTGGACTCGTTGAAAGGCCTGAGGAGGCACCGCTGATAGACCGAGACCTGGGGATACAAAGCAGAGTGCTGAGTCAGCAGGAGGGGGCCTCACAGCTCCTGCCCCCCTGGTGGCTTTTCCAGGAGCCCTGAGGCTCTTGCCATGCTCAGGAAGGTCTCTGGAGACACGGCTGTGCCGGGGGTCATCCTGCTGACTTCACTGGTCAGTGTCCAATATGCATCCAGGGTCCCTGGGGCTCCTGCCCACACAGAGGAGCCACCCACCAGTGGCCCCAGACCTGGCACGAGAGGTACCAAGGTCTGGGCAAGGGTCCACAAGCACTGTGTGGACAGAGGAGCAAGGGCACAAGACGTGGGCTTCCTGTGAACTGGATCCAGCCCTGTGCAGTCTTGACCCCTGGCGCCCAAGCCCAGCCTCTCTAAGGCTTAACTGTTACAGCATCTAGCATGTGGCTTATACACTGGACACTTGCCCAGCCCCTTCACATCCATAGCTACCCACAAGAGATGCCCAGGGCCAGCCTACAGCCCTCATCCTGACCCACCACTGCCCCACTGGGCTGAAGACCTAGCTCGGGCACGGCTCGAGACAGGCGCTGGTCCTGTGTGTCCATTGCAACACAGGAGAACAGCTGCCCTGCAGGGCAGTGACCAGGCCTTTACTCTGCCACACCACGAGAAGGGACACTAAAACACAGGTTCACCCCCTGCAGTGGGACCTACCATCCCTGGAGGGGTAGCTAAGGGTAGGGCACAGCCACAGGAGAGGAGAAAATACTAGACCAGCCTGCACTGCCCCAGCCTGCCTGCCACCAGCCAGACTGGCTACAACAGGTCTCTGGCCCCACCTGGTCCGGCTCTTGGGCTGCAGAACATCTGATGGGCCAAGTCCCTGGCCTCTGTTGGCCCTTTGCCAGATCTTGGAGCACCTGTAGCCAGGGCCCTATGGCCAGGACCTCCAAGCCTCCCCCACCTAGTACTGAGAGAAGCCCAAGGGGCAGTGGAGACCCGTGGTTGGCAAGCATGCCTGGGCCAGAGCAGCACCAGGGACCTAACTGGGACCCAGGTGTGCAGCTGGGAGCAGGGTCCCGAAAAGGGGTGAAGAAGATGGAGATGGCCACACCAAGGGGTGGGGGGTAGGGGTGCAGCCACAAGCAGCAAGGCCTGGAGCCCAGATACCAGCACACCAGCCAGGAGCACATTGCTGGGCACAAGGGCAGAAGAAGGGAAGCTGGAAATGGTGGGGGCCGCAGCGATCTCATCTCTGGCCAGCAGTGCTGGAGCTGAGCTGCAGCCCGAGGCAAGAAAGATGGTACCGGCCCTGAGGGCAGCCAGGGTAGGTAAAGGCAAGCAGGAAGGGGGCACAGGCAGGTGCAGGGGTGGTATGGCACCCAACAGGATGTGGCCATCTAAGCAGGCAGCATGCGTTGACAGCAGCTGTCAGGGGCCTGCTGCCACCTGCCAAGGGCCTGGGACACTCAGCCACTTCAGCTAGACTGGCCGGCCCATGTGGTTAGCAGGGCTGCTCCCACACCTGAGGCCAGCAGGGCCACCTAGACAGAGGACAAGGGCCGGCAGGGGATGGCAGGCCTGCAACCATGAGGCAGGTCTGTAGGGAGAGTAGGGTGGTGCCTCGGGCCCTAGCCTGTGCAAGCCTTAAGTGCATGGGTCTCTGCCTTGGGCTGGCCATGGGCCTTGCCCCAGCAACCCCACCCCTCCTTGCCTCCTCACAGCTGGCCAGGTCCTTCCCTTGGCCTGCTGGATGGTTTCTTTCCCAGAAAGGAGAGGCAGAGGTATCTGACAGCAAGTCCTGTCTCCGGGCCCGCCTCTGCCCGGCTCAGGCAGTTGCCCTGCATCTGGGGCTGGGAGGTCGGGGCGTATGGGCAGGGTGTATACCTGTCTTCTTTGCTGAATTGGGGATGGGCTTCAGCGATATCCAGGCTTTTACTGAACACTGCCTTACTACAGCAGGAACAAAGCGAGAAAACAGAGTTACTGCCGCGGCCACACGCACGCAGGTCAGCCGCTGGGCCATCTGCTGCCCAGCCACACTGGGGAAGCCCTCCATGCTGCCCCAAGGCAGGGCATGGCCTGTCGACCTCAGGCACAGAGATGAAGAGAGAGATGGGGCAGGAGCGTGACCTGCTGGGCAGGAAGTTAGCCAGGACTTGGAGGATGTCTAGACTCCCACCAGCCATAGAACCTCTTCTGTCCCAGCCAGCGGCATCACCTTAGCCCAGTGCCAAGTGGTCAAGCCAGAACAGAAGTCGGCTGGATGTATCAGGACAAAGGACCTTCCAGAGTCCCTTGGGGACAGCTGCCACCCCACAGATGGGCCCATCCTTCACAGCCTGGCCTCGAAGCTCACTCAGGCTTTCGGTGTGGAAAGGCAGAGTATCCACCCTCGGCCATCTGTGGGGTTCAGGCCAGGGAGCGGCAACCACCACTTGAGCAGATGGGGTGCACAAGAGCTGCTGGGAGAGTCCTGCTTAGGTGAGGCACATCCACATGAAGCGGGGTCCCAGAGAAGGGTTAGGTACAAGCATGGCCAGGAGGGACCCAGCCATCACTGGCTGGAGAGTTGGAAGGAACCCCTCAAGGGGTGGATCCATGCGGTCAGAGCCTGAGCTAGACCTGATCTGCAGGGAGGACCTCAGAACTAGTGGGTCGGGGGAGCTGGGGAAGCCCTACCCTACGACCACTTCACCATCTCCTGGTTCCCAGTCCTGGAAAAACTCAAGGGCAGACCTGGCCTGCTTCAGCACCCAAGCTCCCAGCAGTGGGAAAGAGCGATGGGTGCTAGGTGCAGAGTGCAGTGCTGACCTCTGCTGGCTGGGGCTGTGGGATGTCCCAGGCTCCAGGCCTGCTCCCAGCTGACCAATACCCCTAGCTGGAGGGGAGCCCTCTTCCCATGGCAGGACAGGTTTTGCAGGCTCTGGGTGCCCTTCCTCTGCAGGCATCTAGTTGGGACAATTGAGACTTGCTCATGACTCCCCTGAACTGCAAATCCTGCCCACAGCGCTGCTGCTGGCAGCCACCTGCAGATGGCTGAGCACCAGGGAGGGACTAGGTAGGGGCCTCCAAACATAGTTACACCATATTATAGCCCAGCCCCAGTCCAGTTCAGTCTAGAACAGACCACCTAGGTCCAGCTCAGTCCAACTCAGCCCAGCCCAATCCAGTCCAGTCTAGTCGCTCAGTTCAGCCCAGCTCAACCCAGGCCAATACAGCCCGGTCTAGTGCAAGCCAGCTCAGTTCAGTCCAGTCCAGCCCAACCCAGTCCAATCCAGCTCAGTCCAGTTTAGAACAGCTCAGTTTAGTCCAGGCCAGACTACCTCAGTCCAAACCAGCCCAGGTCAGCCCAGTTCAAGCCAGTCTACTTTGGTCCAGCTCAGTCTATGTCAGTTCAGCCCAGCTCAGTCCAGTCCAGTCTAGTCTAGTCCAGCCCAGTCTAGCTCAACTCCGTCTAGCTCAGTGCAGCAAAGTCCAACCCAGCCCAGTCCAGTCCAGCTTAGTCCAGTGCAGCCCAACTCAGCCAGTGCAGCCCAGCTCAGTCCATGCAGCCAGCCAGCATGCCTATCACAGCGCACTCCAGCTTAGCCAGCAGCCTCAGTCCATAGCCCAAGGTCAGTGGGCAGAGACCAACAGGACCAGACCAAGTGTAGTCTAGTAGGGGGCTGATGTTGCCTGGCCATGAAAGCAGGAGGCTTGGGCCCCTGGGGCAGGCACGTACCTCTGGCCATGCTGGGCCATCTCAATGGCTCTCCGTGCGGGCACTGGGGAACCGCCATCCGTTACACTGAGCACTTCCATGGATTTGCGCTCGGGTCTCCGCTTGCCGTGTCGGTTCAGCATTGGAGAGTCCACACGCTTCCGGGGAGGATCTGTGTGTATACAGGGGTCAGGCTGGGTAGCCACCTAGGCCCAGGGGACGCAGGGTGGGCTGAAGGCCTCATACCTATCTCATTCCTGGGGGGCAGGTCCTCGTCCTCGTGGCTGGGATACCTTTCTTTCCGGTCCAGGAGGAGGAAATAAATCATCTTTTCCTGGTTTTCCCTGCAGGGGGTCAGCACATGGAGAGTACTCCTGATGTGTTGTACCCATCAGAAGCTATTCAGGGACTCTGGCTGTGGCCACCCACCTGGGAGGGTGCATGCGGGAACCACAAGGGCACCTCCTAGAGTAGCTAGAGCCTGGGGCAACCAGTGGGCAAGCCAGCCATCCCTGCCCCAACCTACTCCTCAGACAGCAGGTCCTGTAGCAGCTTGTTTCGGTCTCGGAAGCAGCCCAGTGAGTGCATGCTGTCCAGCACATCAGGGTCGATGTCCTCCAGACTGGGCAGAGAGCGGATCTGCACTTTACGTGGGATGGGCTGCTCTGGCTCTGGCTCGTTCTTGCCTCCTCTGTGGGCGACAGGGTATCCAGAAGTGGTCACTCACTTCCAGCTTATCCCAAAGCAATTCTACCCACCCTGAGGTGGCCAGGAAGGTGGGAGGCCCACCCTCACCAGAGCCCAAGTCCTGCTGCTGTCCCTGCACCCAGCCCTGCAGACCTTCTGTGTCCTGCCACAGCCACTCAGTGAGGTAGAGAGTGAGGCTGGGGCAGCCCCGAGCTGGCCGGCACCCTCCCCCGTTCCTAACAGGCCCTATAGGCCACAGCAACAGGCAAAGCAGGCGTTAGTGGGCAGAGAAGCTACTTACATATACCATATGTGTTTCTGAATGTGCTCTAGCTACAAGGAAAGAGAAACAGGGGGTTAGTACCAGGGGGAGCCCATGTTAGGAGGTGGGGGTCCAGAGCAGGAGAAGGAGAGGGCAGGGGAGAGGCTGCATTCCCAGAGGCCCAGGCCAGCATCCCTGTCCCCGCCACTCCCAGATGTAGAGATGCAGCCAGGGAAAGAGGCTGGAGGTGGGGAGCAGGGCTCCAGACAAGGCCAGGGATCCAGGGAGGGAGAAGAGACAGGGAAGCGAGCAGAGCCCTGGGGTGCCTGTGCTGCCTGGCTGGACCCTCTTGGATCAAAGGGCAGGAACTGGAAACCAGCCCAGGAGGAAGTCAGGGGGCTGAGATGGGCTGGGTACACTATGAGCAAGAGGCCGGGGTGGCCAGCTACAGCCTTCTCTCCATCCTGACTCAAGAGATAGGAACAGTTTGCTTTGGGGCAGAGGGCAGATGGTCCTCTTCCAGGAAATGTCAGCCCACAGGGCATCTTGCCTCCCTCACACAGGCAGATGCTATGTGGCACAATCACGTTGCTGGGGCTTCCCTCAGGCCTTTCCCCCAAGTAGCTGACAGAGTTGAGTTCATACTGTCAGGAGGCATGCCAGAAGGGTGTCACAGGGACAGGACGATAGTAGAGGGGATGCCTCCAGACCCCTGACCCACCCGCTCACAGGCACAGGCCTACCACTCACTATGCCCACGTTTCTCAGATCTGGGCACCAGCCCCTCACAACTGAGCACACATGCCCCACACAGGTGAGCACAGGTCCCTCACACCCGGGCACACATTCCCCACACAGCTGGGCACAGGCCTCACACACCTGGGCACACACTCCCCACACAGCTGTGCACAGGCCCTACACACAACTGGCAACCTCCCCCCATGTAGTTAGGCACAGGTCCCACACACACCTGGGCACGCATGCATAGCTGTGCACAGGTGACACACACGGGCATTCACCCTACACACACCTGGGCACAGGCCCTCTACACCTACACACACATGCTGGAAAACAGACCCATACCTCCACCTTCACACTTTTGTGCATGCAATGCCCCCTGCAGCACACACATGGGCATGGATGGGCTCACCCATCCACACTGAGAAGCCTCTTCCTAAAGTGCCAGGGAGCGGGTGCTAGAGATGGAAGCTCGGCCCCATGGGTGCAGGGCTATATGAGGACGGGACAGGTCCAGGAAACGTGTGGAGAAGGGAAGACGGGAGTGCACAGGGCCAGGCTCCCTGCACTCGAGCCCCGGCCAGGGCCGACAGAAAGGCAGGACGTACCGTGAAGTGCCGTGCCGCATCCACCTCAATCATGCCACGAAGTAGGCTCTGGCAGTCGGGAGGGATGAAGTGCGGCATGTGGAACACGCCCCTCTTGACCTTTTCGAGCAGCTGCCGCAAGTTGTCATCATCAAAGGGCAGTGCCCCCTGTGACAGGCAGGACATCAGTCACCAAGGGCAGGTGGCATAGGGGAAGGGCTGGCAAGAGGGCACATGTGGCTGGAAAGGGACAGGGAAGGGGCAGGAGCATGGGCCAGAGGGGCTCACCACCAGCAAGGCGAACAGGATCACACCACAGCTCCACACGTCTGCCTTGCGACCGTCATACTTCTCCCCCTGTGGGAGGAGGGCAGTGCCAGGCATCGGCAAGGTGCAGGACAGAGGTATAGGGGTGGGTGTGAGGTGGTGGGTGTGAGGTGGTGGGTCTGAGGGTGGGTGTAAGGTGGTGGGTGTGAGGTGGTGGGTGTGAGGTGGTGGGTCTGAGGGTGGGTGTAAGGTGGTGGGTGTGAGGTGGTGGGTGTGAGGTGGTGGGTCTGAGGGTGGGTGTAAGGTGGTGGGTGTGAGGTGGTGGGTGTGAGGTGGTGGGTCTGAGGGTGGGTGTAAGGTGGTGGGTGTGAGGTGGTGGGTGTGAGGTGGTGGGTCTGAGGGTGGGTGTAAGGTGGTGGGTGTGAGGTGGTGGGTGTGAGGTGGTGGGTCTGAGGGTGGGTGTAAGGTGGTGGGTGTGAGGTGGTGGGTGTGAGGTGGTGGGTCTGAGGGTGGGTGTAAGGTGGTGGGTGTGAGGTGGTGGGTGTGAGGTGGTGGGTCTGAGGGTGGAGGTATAGGGGTGGGTGTGAGGTGGTGGGTGTGAGGAGGTGGGTGTGAGGGTGGGTGTGAGGAGGTGGGTGTGAGGTGGGTGTGAGGTGGTGGGTGGGAGGAGGTGGGTGTGATGTAGTGGGTGTGAGGAGGTGGGTGTGAGGGTGGTGGGTGTGAGGAGGTGGGTGTGAGGGTGGTGGGTGTGAGGAGGTGGGTGTGAGGGTGGTGGGTGTGAGGAGGTGGGTGTGAGGGTGGTGGGTGTGAGGAGGTGGGTGTGAGGGTGGTGGGTGTGAGGAGGTGGGTGTGAGGGTGGTGGGTGTGAGGAGGTGGGTGTGAGGGTGGTGGGTGTGAGGAGGTGGGTGTGAGGGTGGTGGGTGTGAGGGGGAGGGTGTGAGTCTGAGGGTGGGTGTGAGGAGGTGGGTGTGAGGGTGGTGGGTGTGAGGGGGAGGGTGTGAGTCTGAGGGTGGGTGTGAGGAGGTGGGTGTGAGGGTGGTGGGTGTGAGGGGGAGGGTGTGAGTCTGAGGGTGGGTGTGAGGAGGTGGGTGTGAGGGTGGTGGGTGACCTGGGCACAGGCCCTCTACACCTACACACACATGCTGGAAAACAGACCCATACCTCCACCTTCACACTTTTGTGCATGCAATGCCCCCTGCAGCACACACATGGGCATGGATGGGCTCACCCATCCACACTGAGAAGCCTCTTCCTAAAGTGCCAGGGAGCGGGTGCTAGAGATGGAAGCTCGGCCCCATGGGTGCAGGGCTATATGAGGACGGGACAGGTCCAGGAAACGTGTGGAGAAGGGAAGACGGGAGTGCACAGGGCCAGGCTCCCTGCACTCGAGCCCCGGCCAGGGCCGACAGAAAGGCAGGACGTACCGTGAAGTGCCGTGCCGCATCCACCTCAATCATGCCACGAAGTAGGCTCTGGCAGTCGGGAGGGATGAAGTGCGGCATGTGGAACACGCCCCTCTTGACCTTTTCGAGCAGCTGCCGCAAGTTGTCATCATCAAAGGGCAGTGCCCCCTGTGACAGGCAGGACATCAGTCACCAAGGGCAGGTGGCATAGGGGAAGGGCTGGCAAGAGGGCACATGTGGCTGGAAAGGGACAGGGAAGGGGCAGGAGCATGGGCCAGAGGGGCTCACCACCAGCAAGGCGAACAGGATCACACCACAGCTCCACACGTCTGCCTTGCGACCGTCATACTTCTCCCCCTGTGGGAGGAGGGCAGTGCCAGGCATCGGCAAGGTGCAGGACAGAGGTATAGGGGTGGGTGTGAGGTGGTGGGTGTGAGGTGGTGGGTCTGAGGGTGGGTGTAAGGTGGTGGGTGTGAGGTGGTGGGTGTGAGGTGGTGGGTCTGAGGGTGGGTGTAAGGTGGTGGGTGTGAGGTGGTGGGTGTGAGGTGGTGGGTCTGAGGGTGGGTGTAAGGTGGTGGGTGTGAGGTGGTGGGTGTGAGGTGGTGGGTCTGAGGGTGGGTGTAAGGTGGTGGGTGTGAGGTGGTGGGTGTGAGGTGGTGGGTCTGAGGGTGGGTGTAAGGTGGTGGGTGTGAGGTGGTGGGTGTGAGGTGGTGGGTCTGAGGGTGGGTGTAAGGTGGTGGGTGTGAGGTGGTGGGTGTGAGGTGGTGGGTCTGAGGGTGGGTGTAAGGTGGTGGGTGTGAGGTGGTGGGTGTGAGGTGGTGGGTGTGAGTCTGAGGATGGGTGTGAGGGGGTGGGTGTGAGGGGGTGGGTGTGAGGTGGTGGGTGTGAGGTGGTGGGTCTGAGGGTGGGTGTAAGGTGGTGGGTGTGAGGTGGTGGGTGTGAGGTGGTGGGTCTGAGGGTGGGTGTAAGGTGGTGGGTGTGAGGTGGTGGGTGTGGGTGTGAGGTGGTGGGTCTGAGGATGGGTGTGAGGTGGTGGGTGTGAGGTGGTGGGTCCGAGGGTGGGTGTGAGGTGGTGGGTGTGAGGAAGTGGGTGTGAGGGTGGTGGGTGTGAGGGGGTGGGTGTGAGTCTGAGGGTGGGTGTGAGGAGGTGGGTGTGAGGTGGTGGGTGTGAGGGTGGTGGGTGTGAGGGTGGTGGGTGTGAGGGGAGGCAGCTGAGCTGAGTCTTGCCCAGCAGCAGCAGCACAAGGAGGCCCTTCTACCACAGGGAACCCCATGGCCACTTACCCGAATCACCTCTGGACAGGCATAGTGTGGGGATCTGAGGGCAAAGACAGCAGGTCAGAGACCAGGAGGTCAGGATGCACAGTCTAGACCTGTGACCCTGGACCCTCTGAGGCTCTCCCTATAGAAGTCCTGCTCTGTCGGGTCCCACGGCTGGGCTGGCCCCAACAGACCGGCAGGCTTTGAAACCAAGTTGCCCCCAACCTAAACACCCTATACGCTCCGCTGGGGACAGAGGTCTGGAGCCTGGGCACTGCTGTGCTTGGACCTGGCTGCCCATTCATCCAGAGCCAGGGAGACCAGGGCCATGAACTCTCCCTGCTATTACTGAGGGCAAATACTGGTGCCAGGCGGAGGGTCTCATCACATCCCCACTATAGGGCAGAGTCCTGCCTCCTGACCTCAGCCAGGCTCTGGGGCTGGGAGTGGGGTCAGAAGCTCTGAGAGCAAGTCCTCAGGTTTCCCAGAATGTCCAGCAGCTCCACAGCCACAGGCTTGTCCAGTCTGGTCAGCCATGACCAAGCTGTCTGCCCCTGGGGCCATGTCCTGGGCCTGTGGGGGTGCCACTCACCCGCAGCTTGTCTCGAGCAGGCTGTCGCCCACCTGCAGGGATGCCATGCCGAAGTCCGCAATGCGGATGTTGTTCTTCTCGTCCAGAAGCAGGTTTTCTGGTTTCAGGTCTCTGTGACTGGGGAGGAAGGCCCGGGTGAGCCTGACTGGGGCCCTGCCCCTCTTTGGCCCCTCATGGAGGCTGTTCCTCTCTCCAGATTCCTGTCTGTGAGCAGGGCAGTGGCAGCGAACACTAAGTAGTCTGCCTGGCCTGGGTGACAGGGGTGAGGTGTCCTCCTGCCCTCCACAGGGCACACACACAGGGATGGAGCCTGGGTGGGCTCCTAGAGGGAGCCAGTGGGGACCCTGCTGCACACTTGGGACAAAGGCCCAACCCGGCCTGGCCTGGCTCGCACCATATGGAGTGGCTGTGGCAGAAGTCCAGCGCAGAGATGATCTGTCGGAAGAACTTGCGGGCCTCCTTGGGGGTCAGCCGCCCCTTCTTCACCAGGTAGTCAAACAGCTCCCCCCCAGACACATGTTCTAGCACCAGGTATCTGTGGGGCAGGTGGGGGCATGAGTGCAGGCACCGTGGTCCGGTGGCACAGCCCCTGCCCACCCTCCTGCTGCCTAGTCAGAGAGACAGGTATGAGGCCCAGAGCAAGGCCAGGAGGAGGGCCCCGCCACGGCTCCTGGAAGCTCTCACTAGGGCAGACAGCACAGCCGCTCAGCCCTGCCCCGAGGGACCCATGGACCCTCTGTGGCCTGGGCGGAGGGCCGGGTATGAAAGTGATGGTCAGCCGACCTGGGGTTCCAAGCCCTGTGAGCAAGCCTCAGGGGACCCAGTAGGAATTGGGGTAGGGGACATGGGCAGAGGCTCAACACTGCCTCAGCAGAGCACCTCCTCAGACTCTCCCTACCAGCACAGAGGTCCAGGAGCATCACCCGCCCAGCCATCAGGCCTGTGGTAGCTGGTGCTCTGTCTACTGCTCCCCACCCTGCTCCCCACCCTCAGCTCTGAGGAGCCCTCAGTCTCTCCAGGTAAACAACGAGAGTCAGCCACTTGTTCAGGCTAACCCCCAGGGACAGGCGGCCTGCGGCCTCTGGTCCCCTTGCCCACTACCCATGGTGGCAGGGTCATTGGTGAGGCACACCTATGGGTATGTCTGTGAGGGCATTCCCAGAGATTTCTGGGTGGGAGGGGGACTTGTTCTGAATATGAGTGGCACCTCCCCATAGGCTGGGGCCTAGGACTGAAGGGGGAGGGAGCCAGCTGAACACCAGTGATCATTCTGTGGCTCATCTGCCCAGATATGAGAAAGCTGGTTCCATCGCCACCCCCCCACAACCATTATGGACCGCACCCTCAAACTATGAGCATGACACAAAATAACCCCTTCTCTTGTCGGGTATTTGGTCACAATAACACACGGCAGCCAGGCTCACCCCCCATGCAAGCCTCACCTCTGAGGCACTCAGGCCCTGCTCCCTGGCCTCCCAGCCACCCCTCCACTCCATGCCCAGGCAATCTCATTGAGACTGGGTCTTGGGAGACAGTGGGAGTTGTGAGGGTCAAGGTAGCCCCAAAGAAGCCACACAGGAGGGAGCAGTGTTAGGAGGCCCCTGGATGCTCCCAACCTTCCTCCCACGAAGCCCTCCCCATCACAGGCCTCAAGGCGACAGCCTAGTGCTCCTCAGGTCTAGTCAGGAAGCAGTGGATGCCGTGGCCAGGGCTGAGCCCCACCCACCTCTGCCAGTTGCCAGCACCACAACAGCCAGCTCTCTACCGGTGAGGGCAGCCTGCACCTCTATAAGCCCACCCACGCCAGCCTCCCCAGCGCTCCAGGCCCAGCAATACCTACAAATATTTTTTGTTTTCGTAGACGTCGTGCAGCTTCAGGACGTGTGGGTGCTCGATGAGCTTCAGGATGGCGATCTCCCGCTCCACCTGAGGGGAGACCATGTCACTGCCCCAGCGATCAACCACAGGCTACCAGCAGGCTCTCCTGCAGGGGCCTGCCTGCACCTCTTAGGGTTCTGATGCTACATCTATAGTTTGGGCCTTGCTATTCCTCAAGAAGCCAAGGAGGAGCACAGGCCAGGACAGATGACTTGGGTAGGGGCTCTGCATAAGTTGAGAGTGGGGACCAGGGCAGAGCTGTCGATGAGCATGCCCGTTGTCCAGCATGAACATGCAGTGGTCCAAGCGTGCATGGAGAGGGCAGCGTGTATGTGCAGGGGGCATCATGTGCATGTAGGGGGCTGTACCTACAGGGAACGGTAGACACACAGCTGGCTCCAGCCTGGCACCATTTTGCCTCTCTCCCAGAGGGCATGCTGCCTCCTCCAAGTCTGTTTCTGAGCTGATGACCACACCTCCAAGGAGTATAGCTTTGCCCACAGGTAACTTGGCCCCAGACACTGGCAGTGAGAAACCACCAGAATATGGTGGGCACCAGCCTCTCATGGGCCACCCTGTCCCCAAACCTTTCACCTCCATGTGGGCCCATGTGTACAATACCCACAGTACCAAGTCTCGACCCCATACGTCAGGCCCTTGTGCCATGGGTTCTATCCACTCTGTGTTCCCAGTTCAACACTAGCCCCTAGCCACACCCCCAAAGCAGGGTCAGGTCAGCCCCCCAACACCCCACTTAAGCTGCTGTCTTCTTTCAGATGTCATGCTCCTCAGGTCCCTTGGCTTCTCCGAGTCCACAGCAGGAGGCTGTCCTGCCCTCCTCACAACAGCCTGGTTCTGATGGGATGGGTCTCGGGGCAGGGGGCACCTCCCCAATCTAATCGGGGGAACTAAGGACCAGCTAGCTCCTTCAGTAGATTAGCCTAGCACCTCCACTATCTACTGTGGGCCTGTTTCCTGGGCCAGCCAGGGCAAGGCAAGGGGAACCCTTCCTGAGTGTGGAACGGCCTAGTAGCAGTCTTGTTACTCTGGCAGGAATCCGGAGGGCTCCTGGACTCGGCTTTAGGGAGCGTAAGCAGAAACCACCCATGCTAGTCCTGGACACTCTGGGCCAGCCCTCCAGGTACTGTCTTCCTGCCTCAGCCCACTGCCTCACCTTCATCAGTACCGACTCACTGAGCTTCTCACGGTTGACGATTTTGATGGCTACCTTCTGGCAGGTGACACAATGGATTCCCAGCTTCACCAGGCCTGTGGGAGAGAGGCTGGACTCAGCACATACCACACCCACCCCAGATAGCAAGGATCCCATCCTCATCTGGGGGTCTACACCTTGCCTCATAATCCCCAAGCCTCCCAGATTCCCTGGCCTCTGGCCACCCCAGGTGCTCCCTACTCCCTGACCAGAACGGCTCCATGGAAAGGTGCTCGCTCACTGCAGCAAAGCCAGATGCCTCTTGGAGCCTGAGTTCTCCGTGGGCTGTCATCCCTCTCCCAGATCACCAGAGCCTCTCCCCCAGGCCAAAGACACCCCCAATTGAAGAGACAGAGTACAGAGTCTGGGTCCAGAGCCACCCTGCCCCCAACACACTCCTATCCACAGCCCCTACCTGAAGACTTCTGCAGGGCAGGCCCAAGACTATCTCCAGCCTTCCACAGTCCTAGCCCTCCACCCCAGACTCCCAAAGGGCAACATGCCCTGCCAATCACCTCATTCATCAGCTCACAGGGCCCTGGTCACTCACCCCCACAGCCTTAGCCATCATAGCCCACTGCCATCAAGTTCAGCCACGGTGCTGTCCACTCAGCTACACCGGGGCAGAGCACGTAGGTGTGCTGTAACCACGGTAGGATCTCTAGCTCACAGAACCATTCCAATTTCAGACCACCACACATTTCTGTGAGCTTACTTGAGACGTGGGGTATCTTTCCACGCATCCATCCACTTCTTTCCCCACTTGAGTAGTGGCACATGCCTATGAGCATGCTTGTTTTCTTAACTTGCAAGAGCCCTCTGCCCCAGTGGGAAATTCATCTTTTTGAAGAAGGGAGGTGGCTGCTTACATCCTCTAGCCCCACCCCACCTTTCCATGGACTTGGCCCTGTGCTGTTCTCATGTGTGGTCTCCCGTGACCCTCTGCTGTGGCTCACTCTGCTGGAACAGCACCTCGACCCTCCCTGAATTGGTCATGGCAGCTCCTGCCTCATGGCTGGTGATCTTGGTCCAGCTCTGCTTTCTGCTGGCCATCACCAGAAAGGGTCCCTCTCACCTCTGCCAGATCCAGGGCCAGCCTAGAGACAGTTAGATTCTTCCTGTGCCCCAGGGGGCCAGGGTTGGGGGTCCTAGGAATCTGAGTACAGAGCTGGGCCTCCATGGCAGGGGAAAGCCCAGGTTCCCACGTGGGAGCCCAGGCTAAGAGGTGGCCTCGGTAGAGCACTGTGGCCAAGAAAGCTGCCTCTGAGGCCTGGCACAGGCTCTGGGACCTCTTGCTGGGTGCCTTTGATCTGGCATGAGCACCTGTGATTCCCACTCAGATAGGGAAGAAAAAGCACTTGCCTGGAGGGTGGGTGTTGCTGACAACTGCTATCCATAATTCAGTCACTCAAGGGCTCCTGGGGATGGGGGACCATGGCCTCTGCTCAAGTGAATGAGCTCTACCTGGCTCTGCATACAGCATGGCCAGAGTGCAGGGGAGCCATCCTGGGCTCACCCTGGTGCTCAGGCTGCTCCCTCCCAACCTTTACCAGTATGTACAGAAAGCCCATTCTCCATCACAGCACCTTGAACACTCCTATATACCTTGCAAAACCCAGGATTGAAATGCCGCTCCTTAATAAAGTTCTCCCGACACTTTGGGCTATTCCCTCCCTGCCTCCACATGAGAAAATGGAGTCCTGCCCCAGGAACAGGAGCAAGTAGGGGTCCCCTGGGCTGGATGCCTGGGATCCCTGTGGCAAGGAGTGGGGAGTACACACTCAGGAACCCTGGCCTACAGCCTTGGGGTTAGGCAGCTTTCTGGCGGGAAGCCCACGATCACCCCTCATTACCCAGCCCTCCACCTCGCTGGGGCTTATTTTCCAATTGTAGTTTTTATCTCTAATTATTGTCTTTACACAGACGCAGACTCACATTGAGAGGGAAAGTATACCGTGTCACACAGATAATTGTATGGGGCTTTGCCAGGGTGGGGCCGAGCTTGAAGCCTGAGGAGTCACTAACTGTGCACTGCTTCGGCAGGCTGGAAGGGCCCGGGGCCTCCGTGCTCTCAAGAAGGGTCCCCAGGCCTCCCAAGGGTGAATTCAACATGAGTATGAGGGTCCCAGGCCCTAGCAGGGCCACCCCCACCCAGAGACACCCAGGGCTCCTGAGCCTGGCTGGAGAGTCAGAGGGGATGGGCAGGTGAGTACCTGCGGCCAATCAGCTCTGGAACCAACCAGGTGCCCATGGAGCACAGGGTGTCTCAGTTCTGAGCAGTTCTGTCCCTCACTGGAAGCAGGGACAGGAGCCATGCCTGGGTGAGGGCAGCAGGACAACATTCCCAACATCCCCTACCCACTACTCAGTTCAACAGAACTGAAAGCACTGCTGGGGGGGGCACTTCCTGGGGGAAGAAGCCACAATTCAGCACCCAGGCCACACTGCTCTGCCCTCTGGAGCACACCGGCCCCAAAGGGCCACTGCTTCATTCAGGGAGAGAGAAGGAAGGAACCTTGCCTTGGGTTGGGCCGGGTGAGCACCAAGGAGCTCCCAGGGATACCCATAGGCAGTGGGGAGCAAAGAGGTGGGGGGCTACCATCCAGGAGGCAGACATGGCTCCCTAGGACCTGTAGGAGACCTAGGCTGGTGGCCAGAAGCCTGGGAACACTGGACAAAGACCCAGGAGCCAGTGTCCCTCCCCTCCAGTCCTGGGAACCATGAATGCAAAAGTCACAGAAGTCGAGCACAGCTGAGGACCTGTCCAGTGAGGGCCACTGGGGTGGCCTGCCACTCTTTAATTTGGGTGGCATATCCCAGGCAAGTGACAATACCACATTGGGGAGAGACCTTGTACAGTCTCCCGGCTCCCCTGGCCATGCCCAGTCTGAGGTTGGAATGCCAGGAGTGGCAGCCCAGGGATGCCTTGTCCCCGACACTTGGCAGCATTACCAGCCTGCACACCTCATGACTGGTGTCCACCTCAAAGTGACCACAGGAAGAGCTCAGGGCCTCATCACACAACCCTCCTCACAAGCGGCCAAGTTGTCCAGGGCCCTCTCCAGGTCCCCTTGCCAGCTGACCCCACTGTATCATAAGCAAAGCTTGTGGCTACACAGGCACTGGGTCCCCAGGAGACCATGATCCACTCTGTCAGCTCCTTTTCTGGTTTTCCATACCTGGTCAGGGCACCTGGGAAACACATGGCTGTCACTGTCTGCTTATCCACTGGGTCCCCGTGACTACATCCCAGGATTCTGCTCCTCAGAAGCCTCACCAGGAAGACACAGACAGCGTTTACATGCAGCTCTCAAGCTCCCAATGCCCCAGGATCTCCTGATATATCCCGGACTTTAACAGATCTGGGTTCAGGGCCAAGCTCTCAAGACCCAACTCCTCTCTGTAAGGCAGGTGGCTTCTTCAAGTCACCCCTTCACGTGGCCAAGATGTAGCCCATCCACTACAGCCAGAGGAACAGAGGAACCATCAGCTCTTCCCACGGAGTCATCACAGACCTTCACACCTGCACTGCTCTGCGTCCCCTCCTGCCAACACATCATGAGCAGCAACTCAAGCCTCACGTGTCCACTGCACGTGGGACTCACTGCAGGCCTGGCCAGATTACAGCAGCTTGCCTGTCCTGTGGAGAGAACCCAGAGCACATGATGCCCAGAGCTTGCCCTCCTGGGTGTGGCTGGTCCTGGGCAGGTGCACATACACTTGGGCCACCTGCTGACAGGAGCATATGGACAAGGGCCACGGGCTGGATAGGGAGGTGTGGCTTCCACAGGCCCTTCCGACTCCACACAACACTGATGTCTCAGGGCCTGGCAGCCCAGGGGTGCTGGGGTATAAATACCACCAGTGTCACAATAACTGACTAAATTAGGCTGGCTTCACAAGTCCTGTCCCAGGACTATAAGGCCAGCACAGGAGGGGCAATGCCTTAGTCAGGTACTTCCAGGAGCCAGCCCCTGAGTGACCTGGACCCAGGGCCCCTCCTCCCCTCAGGCTATCTCTAACTAGCAACTCTCAACGTTCACCTCTTGCCAACCCTCCCAGAGGGCCATCAGAGTGGATGCTGTGCCAGACATCTCCCTAGCCTCTCCCCAGGCCTGCCACTGGTGGACTTAGCTCCTGGCAGGGCCTCAGAAACAGCCAGGTGTTGGGATGTATGCAGGCGGAGGGCGGGGGGCACATCTTGTCTGCACATCCTTGTGTGTACCTACCATACCCTTCCTGCCCACAGAGTTTCCCATCTCATTAGCGGTCACCCTGGGGACTGCCCCCCCCCAGCTTCTACTCACCCCTGTCCTGGCCAGAGTAGGTTCAGAGAGTGACCAGGAGTCATCTCCTCTTCCCAGGCCTAGCAAGAACAGAGAGGAGAGCCACAGCACAGCAGAGGACACAGCCTTCTCCCTCCAGCGCCTCAGCCCCTAGCTGCCGGGATGTAGGGAGGGCCGCACCTGGGAACTGCTGTCCTTGGTACTGAACACCACCAGCACGGGGCAGCAGGGCCTGGCCTGTGGCAGACTTGGGGGCCAGGCCCTGCCCAGTCAGCTAGTGCTTGGGTACAGTGCACGAGCATCCAGCAGCATCCTCTCCTGTGGTTTTGAGGAGTGAGGTTCATCACCAGGTAGGATGCACCCGAGTGCCAGCCCCGGTCAGCTGATGAACACACCAACCCAGCTCCATCTGAGTCGAACAGAGGTACCTGCTCCAACCTCAGGCTCTAGACAAGCAATCCCTGGAATGCTTTAAGGGTCCCCTGTGCCTCCTCCATCTGTGACCACTCTGCATCTGAGACCAAGGTGCCTTATCCCAAGACCTCCACCCCCACCCCAGGCAGCTCAGCTCCAAGAACAACCACCACAACAAACGGACCCATTTTCCACTTCACTGTGGGCTGGACTTGTGGGGGTGTGACAGGGCAATGGTTCCCATCTCCCTGTGAACAGACGGGACATGCAGCCAGACTGTGTGGGCTTCAAGGGGCATGCTGGGAAAAATAGATCTGCCATGTAGAGACCAACGTACCCTGGCCAGGCTGCTCACG